CTGGAAAATTTCAATCGCGGTGTAAGTGGTCGACACTACTTGTGGTACTTTACGTAGTATTACTTTTCGATTTACCGAGTGTTTGCTGCGCTAAGAGAGAGTGTTGTTTGGTTGCCTGGGGGTGTCGGGCGTGCAAAAAGCACTTTTTGATGTCTTTTATACATAAAGATGTGTCCCCGGTGTGTCAGGGAACTCACGCAGCGTCAGAAAATAAAACCCTCTCTCTTTTCCTCCGTACCCAAATCTCTAAAAACGGGGCTACAACGGAGCTGATCCAGATTTGCGTCCGATATGACGTAATATCTGAAATGTGGACCCACGGGCCTATCAGAAACGTTGCTATCAGAAACAATGCCCGACTGTTTTGGACGTCATATGGTCGGTGTTTACATTAGCATCGCTAACACTCAGAGCTAACCTGTACTGGAGAGCATGTGTGTGAAGAAGCAGGAAATAAAAAGGAACTCACCTTGTGGTATAACCGGCAAGAGAGAAAGCCTTTGAGCTCCATACTGTTTCAGAGATAATCCTTGATAATCCATGATATGGCGTTTCATCACGGCAGAATCTGCCGGTAGAATCTCCCGCATGAGCTCAGCCCCCTCCTTCTTTTGTTTGTCAATTTTATTTATTTTTTAAAAAGCTTTTTACCCCAAATCAGCACTTTTGAAACAGGAAGTGAAATAGAGGGATATGAGTCACGGCCAGAATGGGTGATCTGTTTGGTATTTTGAGCAAAACACTTCATAGACATGTTTTTTATATATATTTTATATATCTGAGACCTATGCTTTTGCCTAAAAATAGCATGATAGGTGACCTTTAAGTTGAATTTAGGTAATCTGTCCGGTGCTTGCTCTGTCAGTCCTGGAAAAACATTGGTCAAATGTGTTCAAAAGTGTCTACTCTGTGGGAGTCTTAGTAGGTTCTAGTTAGTCTTTAATGAGGCAATCTGTGAAATGATAGTCTGCTGCTCTTCTACCATCTATGTGTACACTCTACTACCCTAGATTACACCATGGGTTTTGTGATAATCTTGCATTTGCTTGTGTGCCAATCGTTATTGCCGCTCACCGTCTTTTGCCCAAGTGACGTCAGCTAGTTTACTCCGATACTATAAGGTAACATTCTAAATGCATGCCTCGTAATCCTAATAGAGCTTTACAGTATTCCTCCTTTTACTAAAGTATACAATCTGTGTAAATAAAGAGAACATTAACAAACATGTTTGAAAAGCAATGGCTGTTACCTTTGAACTGTTTTAAAAAGCACTTTACGGCCGGTATTTAGTATAATTCTTAGGATTTTACGTTATGAAAGGCATAATAATCTTTAATTCCACCCAGGCATTACAAAATCAAAGTCTAACGACTACACATGCATAAGATTTATCATCCTTTTCATCTCTAGTGTTATTTTTTCCACTCCTGCCTCGCTACAAATGAAACAAATATCAGCAGATTATCTTAATACCGCGCCTGCGATGTGAGCGGATTACTCACAATCTTTCATCTCAGTTTTGTGTTGGTGCCTCGGTTTAACAGAAGAAAAACAAATGAGCGTTCAAAAGCCACATGCGAGAAAACACACACTGAGGGCTTAAGCTTCAAATTAGATTTTTCCTTTATTCCCTTTTCTTTCCGTTTCTTCAAAAGCTCCCGCCTTTTGATTAAAGTTTATATTGTTCTTGTAAAGATCCTGTTTTCTTGGAACAAATGTAATCGTGTTTTCCAGTGGAGTTCCTGGATTCTAACTCTGTCCTTCAGTTTATCTTATCAATTCAAAGAAACATCAATAAATAATGTCAAATGCATGTGGAAAAACATTTAAGAAGCAGGATAGTTAACATTACAGAGCACAAAAAGAGTAATAATAAATACCAATTAACTAAAATAATAAAATCCTGGCTCTAAATTTAACATTTTGAAGTGTTTGATAGAGTAGAGAAAACGTCACCATTTGACTTGTGTTCTAGTATTTTTCCCGCATATAAAAGTTAAAACATTAAAATAAAGTAAATAACTTTCTGCTGGAATGTGTGACTTTCTTCTCCCTCATTAATTAACTTTCTCAGGTTGTTAGTCAGCCTCGCCGCTGCCTGCGACCTTTGCCCCCTGATAGCCGCTGCGCTGTAATTGTCTGAAAGTGATGGCGTGTCTCAGGCCGGTCAGAGCATGTTTGGAGAGGCTGCTGATAATGTCTTATCTGTCCACACACACACACACACACACACACACACACACACACACACACACACACACACACACACACACACACACACACACACACACACACACACACACTCCCCATTAGTACCAGTCTCCTGACCGCCCCTCCGGGTCACTGATCACACTCTCTGTGACCTTAAGGTCATGATACTCTCACTCTCACTCCTCTTTCATGTGTTACATTTTGATCTATTGGATTTCCCTTCAAATTAACTGTTTCTGATTCTTCTACCTTGTTTGATGACTTGACTCAGATATAAGAAACTACTACAAGTGAAATCATTTTAAGACCTAAATACTTTTCTGAAATAATTTAAAATAATTAATGCTTGAAGGTGGGGTGGGTCATTTTGGAGAAACCAGCTCGAGTGCACTAGAATTTCAAAATACACAGCTGGAAAAAATCTGCCTCTTCCTCACGAGAAATTTCATCTCTGTTTGACGTATGACTATACTTCAGGACTTTCCTCTGTATACAGGAGAGAATGTAAAACTTTCCCGGAGTGTTAAGTTCAAAAAGCACTATATCTTGGTTTGAAAAAATTGTGACCCTACTTTTCACCAAGGGTATTTATGTCATCATGAACCGACTCTCAACTAGGAGAATGTCATGGGTCTAGTCCAAAAGCTCTCTTTTTTTGTGGTGAGCCGAAGAGGTGTAAGGACTTCGCGTGACTTACTCAAACGGAGAGAAAAAAAAAAAAAGTCCCGTCGACAAACTTTATAGGTGAGTAAGAGAGAGACCGTGTCGGTAGTAGCTAAATCGGATTCGGGACCGAACCGTGACTCGCCGATGCGTCCCTTTCGAATTCACGTTCGGGTTTAGACTGTGAAGATCTGCTGCTGACTATGATAACAGTTTCACATGGCTTCTCACCGAACAGTTCTGCCTTTGTGACAGGATTGTAGAGACAATCAGAAGACACACACTCTCTCTCTCCTCCTATCGTCGAAAAACGGGTTTTATTGCCTTGCAACTTAATGTAATCTTTTAACGACATAAGGGTGTATAATTATAGGTTGAACCAAATTGTCTTTAGAATTTTGTACATTATTCGTTTCTTTCAGGTTGTAATACAGTTGTGACGAAGGTGTCTTCTCCATATATGTTTTTTCGTTTATCCAGTAGAGTACTACATAGTCTATCGAGGAAGTGAGTTTCCCTGGTGTAGTTCACTAAATACAAATGAAGATTAATTTACTGTTTTGGACCTTTCGATGTCATGGTACTTATGACGCGGTTTGAAAATCATGCAAACAAATTGTTGACATTTTTATAGTAATGTACAAAATATTAACCACATTTAAACGTGTCATAATTGAATTTGAAGAATAGCAATTAATATGTAAAATAATAAATAATTGGTGAGGTTGAGTGTAACATATATCTAACAAAATTAAACATTAATAGAAACATAATCGTCTACGTAATGATATCCGAAGACTAAAATCAAAATGTAAACTATAACCTAAATTAAGAATTTTTAGTCGTTGACAGGTGCTTTGGTTGAAGGGGTACTAAAAACTAGCTAATTATGTGAATAGAAAATAACATGACATGAGCGAAAACGCTCGTCGAGTGTTGCTGAAGTATGAAGTGCTGTCGTCCAACCATTGTGTTAGTGTAGTTACGAATTTTAAGTCTGGAAATTCCACCCCATTCTCATTCAAACCTCGTTTTGGCCGAGCTCTATTTGTGAAAAACATATAAGGTACCTTTACCGAGGAATTGTAGGGACTATCGTTACTATAGACTTCACGCAACTGTTTTTTACATATGTTTACAGTAGTCAACTTCGGCATTCGGCGACATGTTTTTCGTGCTGGTTAGTAGACTACGGCTGGGCCGATTTCATTGACCTACCGGATGGACGGACAGGTTCGGAATGCGTAGACACGTGTTGAATAGAGCACGGGAGTAACCAGTAGCACGCGCAAGCACACACAACCT